CCAAACGGAAAGTGGGTCTAAACTTGGTTTCCCAACGCTATTGTGAGTCAGCTCGGATTGAGTCAACTGTCAACTCTGATTCTTTCTTGAATAATTTTGAAAGGTTTTCTGCCAAACGTTACGTCTCTGTTCATTTACATTTTTTCCCTCCCCTTCCTTTCTCTTCCTGCTTTCTCCCATTGTTTTTACTGATTTCCTTCTCATTTCTTCAGCTTTTCCATTTCTGCTGTTTTTCTTTAACTTGCTGGGATGATGCTTGCTGATCAACAATTGCTGCATCAAAAAGCTCCCTTATCTTGCAAGGAGAACATGTTTTTCTGTGTGCTCAGCGTTAATTCCACTTGCACTTTTTTCTCTTCCATTTTTGGACTTTTTGTTGGTGAAAATATTCTGGAAGCGATCTCTCACTGCTCTGTAGGATACACCAAATTTTGGCCTTTCTACCTACGAGAAATTATCCACAGTTTTTCTCCACCCATCGCTCCTTGGCCCACCAGGACACTTCGAAATATCCCGGTACGCCCTTGCTTCAAGTTATATTTTTTATAAAACTTGATTCCTGCTTTGTTCACAAAAAGAGAATTTTCCTCGTCACTTCGATATAGAGTTCATGTATTGTAATCCTCGTATAAACATCGGAAAGACACTCTTATCAAAACCTAAAACAAATCGAAATTCCTAGAACCAAAAACAAAACATCTCCTGTAAATGTCAGCATTGCTGTAAATTTCGTAATTTGATCTTGACAAAGATGAAACATTCAGTAATAATTTATCAGTTGCCCTATGATGCTCTGGACATTTAGCAGAAGCTCAACTTAACTAAAATAAAGATAAAAAGCCTAATAAAACGTTTTAGTTTATAGATCACCTTTCTTCAAACAGACCCAACAACCTCTCTAATGTATCGGTCGTAAAAATCGGTATTACAGACCACTGTATGACATACGGTACTAGAAAATTAAACGCTAGAGTTCATGTCAATGACGTGATATTTAAGACAGAGGCACGCAGTTTGAAAAATTATGACCGTGACTCTTTCCTTAATGACTTGCGTATTATTGACTGGGAGATGGCTATGTCATGTAGATCGGATGACTCCAATAAGATGGCTAGCAATTTCTACGATCTCTTTCTCGCTGTCTTGGATGTGCATGCGCCGTTAAAAAAGGACCGCTAAGACGAGGCCTGCACATATACCATGGATTTCTCAAAGTATCAAGAATTTGATGTGCGAGAGAGACCGTATTAAGAGACGGGCTGAGAGAGATGCAGCACTTTGGCCAAGATATAAGCAGCTTCGAAACCAGGGGCGGTCCGGCGTCAAAATTGCAGGTTGGCTAGAAAACTCAAGGGCCGGTTTAGGGCGTGGCGGGAAACATCTAGCCACACCCACTAAAAATGTGGCTTAGAATACGATTGATTCAATAAAAATTGATAATAAAGCAATACGCTAAACAGCAGCAGTGTATCGACTTTAATTCGTAAATTCGGACCCAATTAGATCCATACCTTTTTATCTCGTGTAAACAGGCTTTAAAATCCCATGTATAGTTAAGAATCAAGATCAAAACTTATTCAAATTCTCAGAGTTTCAACTCTTTTCGAAGAACTGCAAATGAATCAGCAAATTGGCCAATGACTTGCTCGTAATCAAGTGGAAAATTTTCTCTTCTTTTGAAATTATCAGTAGCGCTGAATAATCTTTCAAAGGAAACTTGGGTGTAGCTAAGTGTCATCAAGCATTTATACGCGTTGTAGAGGTATGCTGCTAGGTGCATGTTGTATTCGTTAATTTTTTTTATAAAATCTAGTAAATTAAGGTTCAGGCTGACTGTTCTTAATTTTCGCAAAAATTCCGTGGGTGGATTGTCCTTAATTTGTTCTTAAATTAATAGGGTGTAAGCAGTGCGATTGCTAGCTATTTCGCTCTTGGGAGGTGTTCAGGCATTATTTGCCAATAAAGTGAGTGAAACAGCCTTCATTTAACGACAAGATTGAATATTCATCGAAAAGCAACCACACATGGCTAAAAATCTTCGTATTGGGATAAAATGTTGTTCAAAAATGCATTAAACAGTAACTCAGCCTTAGTATGTTCCTAATTTGATCTCAACTTTGACCAGTTTTGATGCTCATATTCTTATAAAATTAAATATATGATAAAAGATATAAATATATAAGAAAATTAAAAATGAGCGTCGGTACAAAGTTTTGAATGCGCAGGGTATGCACAGTTGGCAAGCTTTTACCCTTTTAATAAAGGGTGTCGAAGTCGACTTTGGGGTCCTTTCTCTCTTTGTGAATCCCCACCTTGAAAGTCACAGTTTTCCTCTCCATATATTTCTTCTCCAAGAGCTTGTTCCTTGAGATCATCTGTTTTCAGGATCTGCTGATAGCAATTTGCAAATGCCAGCAATTCTGACATTCTATGAACTTGAAATCTTAAAAAGGGCTCTTATTGCTCTTTTGCTTCATCTTTGTGTCAACAAATCTTCTTAGCATTGTTGAATCCTGATACAGATTTAGAAGATAAGAGTACGCTCTTTCCCTTCTCTGCTTGGCATTCTGTTTACGCACTTGAAATTTTGTGGCTCTGGGACCCAGGGTACACGTAAGATTGAACACATGGCTGAAATAACGGAAACCAGGGTTTGGGTGGTTTGAAGCGCATGTATTGGGACTTTAATCGCAATATAATCAGTCTAGGGCATTAAATATTTGACATTAAGTTCAAAAATTTTCTCTAACGCGGAATGGCCCGTAAATTTCTTGACTCCAACGATCGCCACTTTGCCACCCGGCCCAGACCGCCCCTGCATTTACAATATATCGCATGGCACATCCATGTATCCCATGTACGGCCGTGTTTATTTAAACAGGCTTATCGATCTTGAATTCTTCAAGTGTCTTGACCCGGACTACACTGTGGTTTACGAGTGTACCTTGCAAGCGAGATCAGTGAAATCCCGTTTTCTCCGGACTCACAAATCCTCTACATCAGGGGTTCTTAATTGTTTTGAGTGCCAGGCAAGAAAAACATGTGGATTTTCTCCGGGGGCCACTGAGTTTTCGACTTTTACATAGCTTGTGTCAAAAAAGTTGCATAAAATCAACGTTCGGATTTCATACTTGCTAGGCTAATTTAGAGATAAGATAGGCAGACCTGTTTTTTCTTGTTAGATTCTTTATTCATAAAATCTATGTAGTGCGCTCATTTTCATGAAATATGTTTTGGAATGGTGGATGAGAAGAGAGAAAAAGGGAAGGTGATGATAAATTTAATTCTGACGTAGGATAAGAGGTGAGAGAAAACCACGACATTGCAGGGGGATGGGGGAATTTTTACTTTCTAGCTGCTGGACTTTCAAAGGGGGGCCTCAGTGATAAAAATGACGAATTTTATTTAAAGGGGTCACCTTTTTCGATCATTGAGGCTCTGGTACCCAAGGTAGAACTTAATAAAATATCTCTAAGTTATTCAAAAAATCTTGATATGTAATTTTCCAGTCAAAACACAATATGGGTTGATGTTTTTCTAATCATTGGTTGAGCAACCAGGTTAATTGATTGTTTGCGAAGCAACCAAGATGGTGACATCAGTAGCATAGACAGGGCCAGGCACCGCGCTGCCATTGGGCTAGTAGGGGCTAAAGCCCTTCCACCTTTTTGCAATATTAGGTTTCGAAAACATTTTGGAAACATTTGATAGTATTCTCCTATATTAAAGAGTACGCCATTTTCAGCCCTCCCACATTTAGACTGGTGCGCGGTCCCTGGACAGGGTTGACGAAACGTTAATGAAAGTGGGAGGAGGGGCGGTATGTTTAGATTGTTCAGGGGTGTAATAAAGGCCATGACCATGGTTAGGAATTCTAGCCAAATTCAAGAAAAAATTTTGAAATATGACATTATAGGGATAGCCAGAAATGCATCTAGAATACTTGCCACATCAAGTTTGTCGAAAGGAAGATCCTAAGCAATACATGTAAGCTCTCATTCACAATAATTTCCCATCCCCTAATAGTTTGCAATTACCAAAAAGCCAAGGTCTTATTCTCAACTTTTAGCGATAAGCCCAGCATATCCGACACACGTAGCTTTGAACAAATTTCTAAATGCAATTATAAAAAACTCTGTCTTGTCTATTGAATACAGTAAATGAATGCTTTCAAGTAAGAAACTTTCAAGAATGACGAGTCATTCTTTTCTATATTAAGTTATCAATTCATGTCTACATTTCTATGAGCATAAAGCTTGTAATGCATTTAAGTCTTCCAGTTGTATCTCGTTTCTTTTTCTTGTTTAGTCTACAATTTGACACATTTGAAACTTACTCATTTTTATGCAGGCCCGTAGACTGCTGAACTGGATTGGGGGCGTGGATAGAAATATGACTTTTTCTTTACCTGCCTTACGAAATACTGTCAGATCAAGCTGCGCTTATAAGATCTTCACACAATTTTGCCCCCTGCATTGCCCCCTGCCCCCAGTGTCTACGGGCCTGTTATTTTGCAAAAGTTTGCCAGGGCAAATCTCGCATGGTTTTTGCCACGTCAGCAAATTTTCGAATAAACAACTAGCACAGTCAGGCCACGCCAATGGAGTTATGCCAAAATTTTTCCGAATAATTACACCAAAATTTGGCTTAAGTACCGATGTTTTATGCCTAAGATACTGGAGCAAAGTATGGATACACTGGAGCAAAACTTTTGTCAGAGCTGAGAGGGTTGAGCCCTTCTGCTGTTTTGATCTATACTACCAAATCTATTTGGTTAGCATTAAAACCTAAACCTATGATTTAATGACAACATTTAAACTGAGGGCCCGAAGAGAACATTTATCGATTTTGGAACTTCCAGTTAAGTATCGTATTATTGCATTAAGGTAAATAAACTTCATAACATGAACTGTCAGGACTCAGCGACATTTATTCTGTACCTCCCCTACAAAGTTTCTTTACACAATGGCCTAATTATGGGTCCTTCCTTTCCGTTGCAGTATAAAAGTTGAGATGCAAGAATCACGAGTCGAAGTCAACAAAATGCGATCTGAACGACATGAGATCAAAGAGAAATTGGTGCGACAGCAAAAGGAACACGAACGACAAATCAGTAGACAGAGGGAGTCGTCCGCCAAACTGGAACGAACTGTTGAGAGACTAACAAAACAAGTTATCGAATACAGACAGTATCTCGAAAAAAGGGAGGTCAGGTATTCAGCGCGTCAAAAGTGAATGCAAGTTGGACTCTCGGGGAAGTCTTCGAGAAGTAACTCTTTACCATCGCTGCATAATAAAAACCATAAGGGTCCTGTGCAGGAACATTCGGGACGGTTGAGATACAACAGGGACGAAAGCGATGATACGGATGTCATTTTTTTCTAGTTTATAGACGAGGTAATATTTTAATGCAAGGTGTATTTGGAAACTCAGTTGTTAAGGCTTGGTTTTAAAGGCTCGTTCAGACAACTATTTGAATTTTGGGAAAAATGACTTTGTCAATCAGATGTTGTGCTTAAACAATGTGTCTGAGTCGAAGTGGAATATCTCATTTCATTGGTAAAGATGTCCGTTGCTTCATAACTATAAGCCAAGAACCCATTCTGGTTCTTTGGTGTCTCTGGTCACCTCTGCACCAAACGTGACATAGTTTGATATTACATAAGATAGCTGGACTTCAAATACTATTTGAGTGGGGCGTGCTTCAGGATACCTGACAGGTTTGATAAAGGCCCTTTAACTGATTGGGAGAGCCATAAGGGTTCATGCGGTTGGTTTGGATCCCAAAGGCTCTAACAGTCTGAAATACTTTCAATGGCAACGGCCATTCTCCCATCAACATTTATCAAGGCAAGTGATATGATAATTATTGTTTTTGCACAATTTTCGATTGGCTTGGGTATTTAAATTCAGGAGATTCCTGATAGTTTCATTACATACTCTCTGAATAGATAAATAATGTTTTTTATTGTGAGATATATTTTCGTTTGATTTGAATATTTTAGATTTTATGATTACCATAACAAAATGTAAATTTATTTGCATTGTCTAAGTACTTGTATCGCGCAACTGTTAGGTTTTAAATAACAATTGTCTTTAGGACTTTTTCGTAACTCAGTTTAAACGAAATTCACGAGACTTGCATGATGGCATTAGCTCCATGTTATAAAAAGACCAGTCATCAAGTTTGTAAGGTTGGTAAGTGGTAAATAACATATGTCTAGATTAAACTGTTACCAATTAGAATCTAGAAGAAACTACTCTATACGCTCGACGGGTGTCAGCCAACAAGCCTCTCTTCTTTGGTCATTTGTTTTGCGCCACGTGATACTTTTCAGCCTCTTAACAGAGGAGCTTGTCCCGGTTGCTATAGAGAAGTTTAGCGGTGTTTCGAACCCGTTCATTAAGTTCGCTCACCCTACTGTACGCTCAGACAGTTGTAGTTTAATCGAGATTTTATAAGGCATACTTTTAGAGAAAAGTGTCATATTTTTCTTGCTGTGTTTCCTGTATTGGTTCACGTTTTACTCTTGAATTTTAGATACCCTCACGCAGCTTTTCCCGTTAATGGTAAAAAAAGAGTTTTATTATCGAATTCTCCTTTTCAACACCAATATGCAAGGCTTGATAAAATGATCCTACCATTTATTCCTATATCATTGGATTTTTGACATTTTCTTGACAGTAGACACAGCACCCCCCTTCCCCCTCCCCCCCTCCTTGACAAAAATAGTTTTGCTGATTTTTCTTAACTCAAATTTGATATTATCGTAGGCGCGGAGGAGCAATAGCCTGTGAACTCCCAAGAGACACTTCTCCCGCTTATATTTTTAATTGTTGGTTTCCCCTTTGGACTACCTGTGGTTCATTCAAATTGAATCTCCCTTGAGTATCCCAGGTTTTCGTAGAATATAAATAAGCAATCCATTTGCTTTATAATCAATATTCTGAATTATAAACCAGATATTAAATATGATGCATAACAAAGTTTTGATGATGCTAATGGAGACTTGAGGATAATATCGTTCGCTCTGGCATTCTGCAATGAATTCGGCAGTGCTTTCGAAGGTTTATAAAATCCAAGATGGCCTACTTGATGGTGCTCTATTGCGACTTCTACAAAATTTGAACGATTATCAATCAACTAGATCTATAAACTTCTCAACTTTGTTCGATACTGGATTTTGTATTGCACCGTAAAGATTCGACAAGTAGAAGATATTCGATGCCTGGACGCAGAGGTAGAGGACGCAGGCTGATTGCGTTCAATTGAGGTAATCGAATATGTTCTCTTATTTCTTTCAAAGTGTTGCTTTTATCTTACCTTATCAGAAAGAAAATACGACATCTTCAAGACTGTTCTTCTTAACGTCAAGCGAATAAGCTTTGTTGAATAATTTTGATAGGGTTCTTATTTTAAGTATTCTGCAACTTCGATAAATACGCAGTAAATCAAAAACCTGCCGGCTGTAAAGAAAACCTGTTTTCAGAGAGCAAACTTAGAATTCGTTTGGTTAAAGCTTTGATTGCAATATATGTGGAAACGTCATTTGACCAGGGACGAATCCAGGATTTTTGGTGATTATAGCTCAAATTTTTTGGGATCGGGACCACACCCTCCTTGCTTGTGGGACACGCCCATTATATGGGCAAATGATAAAACCATGTGTGTTTATAGTTGCTTCGTATTCATAAATATTCCTTCGAACATCCTTTTTCTATCTCCAGGGACGCCAGAGAAGGGGGTGTGGGGGTACAACCGCCCCTGTTGCCCTTTGACAGAAGGGGCAAGAGTTGTTTTTAATAAAGTTCCGTCTGAAACTGGCCAATTGTAATAATCAGAGAGATTAATATGAAATTCTGAACTTCTCAAAACATGTAAAATAATTCCTTGTGCCGAAAATTAGCCAATGTTGAAGATACCTACAGATAATAAAACTGCAGTCACGTATGAATTTGTAGAAGCTGAGAATGATCTATCAAAAGCCCTTTAACTCGAGCCTGCCCCCCTCTCTTGCCGCTTGGTCGTTCCGCCGTCCCTGTCGATTCCCTAGTAGGTTCTTGCCTTTGAAGCTACATTACAGGGGACCCAGGATGTGAAGACGAGCTATAGTCCACTGTTGCTTTACAGGGGGCAGAGAGCGGAGATATACCGTGGATACTCATATTCTATTGGTTAAAAAGCCATTTTCAAACCTGACTATAGCTTCACTATAGCTCGCGCCAAAATTATTGTACGAGTTTCATTGTCTTCGATGCCGATTCCAGAGCAAATCCGGAGAGGCATAGTGATGACCAGTGGCGGCTCGTGACTTTCACAGTTGGGAGGGCAGACCATCAATATTGCGATAATCGATAGAAAGGTCGACTTTGCAAATTTTTCACTGTATTCATGGTTTGATGTTGATCGTCATGGAGCGCAGAAGAAAAAGCATAAATAGATGTGGTTGTTGTTTAGCGATGATGTCATTTTATGGGCAAAATTTTTCTTGCCCCGAATCCAAATGAGCCAATCACAGACGGCGTTTTGCAATGCTCGAGGTCAAAACTTAGCTTGTGCGCATGTCGGCTAGGGGCAAAAATAACTTTGCCCGTAAAATGACATCATCGCTCAAGGCACTAGCGGGCCAGAAGCGAGGCTAAGGACGAGACGGGATAGCAAGGAGCTTTTTCTAGAAGAGATACAAACTTATATAATTAACCACAGTAAGACTATCTTCAAAATTAAATATGAATATCATAGATTTCCTTTGAATCTTTTTGAGGGTGCATGGCCCCAGATGCCCATTAGCAAGAGCCGCCAGCAATGCATGTTTGTTAATAATTTGATAACCTATACCGCTGCTTTCAAATGTTGAGAGGCTTGATAGCAGAGGAAGAATTAACACTTAACTTTGAATTCCGAAAATCAAACATGGAGATTTTGACTATAGTTCGAGCTCCAGTTGCTATAGTCTGGATCCGCTCCTGATTTGACCCTATACATTGAATATAAAACCCCAGTAATTCGGGAGAATTAATATTCCTTAAACCCTTTTACATTGAATTGCGATGTAGTGCTTAGATTTTCTCGCCTCAATCTTCTGTAACAAAATTTTTTCCAGGCCGATCTGATTGACTTTCTATTTTGTTTTTCTTATTATAATATCTGTGAATCATTGGTCATGATCTACATCCCCCCCCCCCTACGAACACCCCGACCCGGAAGGAAAACGGAATGGTTGCATACTCCAGTCCCATAGTGAATCTACGTCACTTTATTTGATTCAATCCAAGTAAAGAATTGGAATGCCGGATAAAGAAGTATTTGCTATGATCGTCATAACCAGTATCGTTCCAAGAGTTGAAATCATATGTTCTAAAGAGAAAGAAGCCCCCCTCTTTATCTAAGAGGGGATATAGTGAAGGGGCTATATAGCCTCGCCTAATCAATCAACAAGGGTAAAATCAATCAGAACGATATTTAGCTACCCTTACCCTCTGGTAATGAGAAAATTTTTGGTGAACAGCGAATGCCTGCTGTGTTTACAAATTATTGACATTTTCCTAAGCACGGGATTAAGATCAATTTTGAATCACCTGCACTGCAGTCTGAACTCTATCCATACTTACTTACATACTTACATCGAGTAACATGAATCTAAGTAAATTCTTACCTTAGATAGATAAAAAAGATGATTCATAATCGTGTCCCTTTTACTTTTGAAAGAAGCTTTGATGTCTCTGCCCTTTGTACCTTAGGCTAAATTTATCTTTGAACTATTTGCATAAGGCTCTAAGTTCAAATTTTCAAAAGTTTATGTTTCTCGTTGAGTTCATCCATTGATAGAAAGCATTGCTTGTTCCGCCATATTTTCCTTGGAATTTTCCATCCATAATCTAATCTAAGTAAATTGTTATCCTTGATAGATAAAGTCGAAGATTCACCATCGTGTCCTTGCTACGTTCTGAAAGAAGGTTTGTTGACTCTACCCTTTATACCTGGCTAAATTTATTTTGGAAGTATTCTGATTCAACTCTAAATTTGAATTCTAAAAGATTAATTCTACAGCAAATTTAAGAACAGTCTTACCCTTTATTGATAAAGTTGACCACTCTCCATCGTGTCTCTTCTGCGTTTTAAAAAAAGGGTTTTTTCGTCCCTGTCCCTTATACTTTAGGCTGAATCTATCTTTGAATTATTCGGTTCAAAATCTCCCTGTTGATTAGAAAATGTTTATGTTTTCCCTTGGTTTTTCTCCATTGATAGACAGCAATGCTTGTTATGCCATTATTTCCTTGAATTTTTCAATCTTCAATCTAATCGAAGAAAATGCTTACCCTATATTGAAAAGTCGATGACTGTCCATCGTGTCTCTTCTGCGTTGTGAAGCAAGCTTTTTGTCCCTGTCTCTTGTACTTTTGGCTAAACTTTTTTTTAATTATACTGATTAAAATCTAACATTTAAATTGATAAAGTTTATGTTTCTCGTTATTCTCTCTCAATTAATAGACAGCAAAGCTTGTCATGCCATTATTTCCCGGGATTTTTAAATGCTTAACCTAATCTTCGTGAACTCTTATGTTAGACCGAAAAAGTCAACGACTTTCCATCGTGTCTGTTCTGCGTTTAAAAACAAGGTTTTCGTTTCTGTCTCTTGTACTGTTGGCTAAATGTATCTTTGAATAATACTGATTAGACTCTTACCTTTTATTAGATAAAGTTTATGTTTCTCGTTATTCTCTCTCAATTAATAGACAGCAATGCTTGTTGTGCCATTGATTCCTTGGACGTTTCAGTTCTTTATCTAATCTAAGTAAGGTCTTACCCCCTATTGATAAAGTCAATCTCTCTCCATATTGTCTCTTCTGCGTTTTGAAACAAGGTTTTTGTTCCTGTCCCCTTTACTTTTGACTAAACGTATCTTTGAATAATTCTGATTAAAGTCTTACTTTCAAATTATGTTTCTCGTTGGTCTATTTCAATTAATAGACAGCAATGCTTCTCGTAATATTATTTCCTGGGATGTTTCAATCCTCAACGTAGTCTTTGTAAACTCTTACGTTAGACCGAAAAAAGTCGATGAATGTCCATCGTGTCCTTTCTACGTTTTGAAGTTCATCGTTTGATGTTCATTAAATCGTTATAGTTTTTGGCAGTTTCACATTCAGTTTGGCAGGATAAAAGTCCCTAACATCCTCAAACAAAACCACAAAGTTACCCACTTTCTTCTACTGTTTTGTATTTTCAAATCAAGAGTAGACAGTCTTGAATTGCTCGCAAAAAAATTTCTTTTTTCATAGATAACTAGGCCTAGATTGCCATTAATTTAATTTCAATAATAAAATTTCGTTTACCATAAGATAATGTTATTAATATTTATGCATTAGTCCACAGAATGAATGCATTACAAAACTTTCCTTCCGTCTGCAGATAATGTAGCAACTAACTCTTTACATCATTTTTGGGTGTAGCCTTTAATAAAGGGCGTGTCTGTGTGG